AGGAATAATTCAAGAATTGAAAAGGTAAATTTATTTATATTGTTGCATATAAATTATGTCATATTAAATATTGTTGCATATAAAAATATAACCAAAGTTATTTTATTGTTATTTTATATTCAGAATGATCGAAGGAGGTTTTCACGCAATAAACAAAATCCTTAGGTAATCTTTAAATATTTTATCAGTAAATAAAATTTTAAAATATTTATATAGTTATTAAATTACTTTATACTTGCAGAAATCAAGAGCAGCATTTAAACGAAATAAACTTACAATTAAAACGGAATAACGATACATCAATTCCGAAAAAACCGGAATACTTTCCGATGCAATCGGTTGAATGTTTAGATAAATTCGAGAATTGCTCTACTGAAGAATATCAAAATACGGTTAGTATCTTTACTAATTTTAACAAATTAAATTAAATTTTTAAATTTGGTTTTATAAAATTCCTATTTTTTATTTTCTATGATTTTTATTTTCTATTTGTATTTGTAGGTTTCATATTTTATTTTCCTTGGTGGATTGAACCCTAAAGAATGTGTAACTGCTATGATTAAAGAAAGTATCACAGACGACTTTTCCGTGAATATTACATGGAGTGGATATGGAAATACAGTAGAAATTGCTAGTCGCAAATTAACAAGAGCTATATATGGTAAATTTCATATCATATACTATGTGCATAAAATTAATACGTTTATGTTAAGAAAGAAAATGTAATTTTCAGAAGCCTTAGCAAGGAACAACAATTTTCCCAAACCAATGGTCACAGAACTTCAAGAAGCTATAACTGAAGGACTTCGCAATGCAAAGCAACGAGTAAGGAATAGAGAAAAGGAAAAAAACGATAAAAGAGAAAAAGGAAAAAGAAGGGTTTTAACCGAAAAAGTAAAAGAAAATTTGAATATCATAAATTAATATAGTTCAATTTTTATTTCTTATTGAATAATTTTACTCAATAACTTCCATTTCGTGCATCTAGTAATTTCTGACTCTTATCTCCATATTTTTAATTAAAAGAAAATATTGTAAGAAAAAGAAAGGTTTTGAAAACGTTTAATTTGATGAAAACAGTAACATTTTATAATTATTTTCCTAAGATATTAATTTTTGTAATCGAAATTTTAAGATTTTCTAAATAACTAAGAATTTTTTTGTTTTAAAAGTTTTTTCTTATTATTATAAGTTTATGCTTTACGTTCTTTATGAGTGTCAGGAATATATTTATATACAATTATTTTCGAGAAGTTTACTTTTTGTTTAAAATTCTATGTACTAAATAATATAATGTACAAGACAATATAATGTATAAGATATAAAATGTATTTAATACTGAATGTACTTAATAAATGTACTTCATTAAATAAATAAACTTGCTAATTAAATAAATAAACGGTTTATTTAATTGTTATTATTTCATAGTTATTTAATTGTTATTAGCTAAATTATTTCCTTAAAATTTGCTGCAAATATTGCGAAATGTTTTTACTGCATTAAATTGTCACAAATATTAAAGGTTGAGATTTTATGTTTTCAAATATTGAAATAATTATAAAATATTATATACTAAATTGGATTTGTATAATTTTTGACAAATGTATTTGCTAAATTTTATTCTGACAAAACTGTTGCGTTATGGCGAATCATCTTAGTGCAATTAGTGAGAAATTTTTTGTCAAATCATGATGTCATTATTGTGCAAAGTTTCCACAATTTTCCTATCGGGGCGCGTGAGAATTGTAAACTATAATTTCTGTAACTGAGACGATTAGGGATACAACGTGGTGTGTAATGTGCGATTATAGACGAATGTCAGAGGGGGAAAAGTACTGAGCTTCCTTCACGGGCAAACATTGAATAATGTCAGTGATGAAGCAAAGTCTAAAGTCTAATGCGCATAGCATTGTAAATTACAAAATAATCGTTCATTACACAATATAAAATCTAACAAAATAATTTTGTTTTAGAAGTTTGTGAATGCTATTGTTATTTACATCTTTCTGTTACATAGATTTTGTTCAAATAAGAAATTTTTCTATGAAATGCAAACTATTTGACATTCGATATTGAGATCGAAATTGTTATCCAATCACTTGAAACTTAACTCCTAATCTTGGATTTATTTTTTATTCACTTTTTAAATATTGGATTAACTATTGTTTTAAGTATTGTTTTAAAATATTATTTTTAAATTTTCATTTTTTAGTTTTGTATATGTTGTTGAAATAATTATAATTAAATATGTACTTTTATTTCTTTATAAAAATTTATACTTGTTACTTTTTTATTACAAAAATTTATATTTAATACTTTTTTATTAATCCATATGTGTTTCACGTCAATGAGACTGCAAAATGTTCTTTATATTCAAGCAATCAATAGATAATAAATTGGAAAAAACTTTAAACATTATTATAATTATTTGCTCTATTTCAATATGAATTCTAAAGTGTTAAATAAAAAGATGTTTGAAATTATAGTCCTCGAGTAATTAGTAACAGAATAATAGAATATGAAAACTACATTTATGATTTGGAGTATATTGTGAAGGAAAATGAAGGGAATAACGATAACGATCGTTGTATGTCTAAAATATAAATGAGGCGAATAAAATAGGAAAGGAAATAATCATATTTCTGCAGAAAGTGTATCAAATGCATTTCTTTTTTTATGTCGTAGTATCAACAAATTAAAAAAATCACACATTTCTTCGATGTAGACATTTTTATAGATAATAGAATATTAATTGAAAGTTATAAATTCCGTTAAGAGAACAACTTCTACATTATTTTAAAAATATTATTTATCTGTATTACAGATTTGCTTTAATGCCTCTACCTCCTCCCACTCCCTCTTTCTTCCTCGCTCGCGTAATTGTTATAATTTTACTAAAGGTCTGTTCTTTATAGCTGAACTGGCAGCACTAGTTCAGAGTTTATCTTTCTCCTTTCAATGTGAAAGGAAAAAGATAAACTGTGAACTAGTGTAGCGAGTTCAGCTATAAAGAACAGACCTTATACATTCGCATCAGACAGTGTTGCGATATGGGACCGGTTGTATGCGCATGTGCGGCAATAGGCGTCAGTACAGTGTCTCATACAAGTTAAACAAGGTACCGTTACCTCGCTACATTAAAAATATTTCAAAATTTTTTGAAATTGATTGAAATTTTCTACTTCTTGGTTTTTAACTGCTGGCTCCGTAGATTCCATGCTTGTAAATAAATAAATCTTACCTTATTTGTAGTCACCTAACCTTCTCATGTCAAAACGTCCCGCCATACGGTCAACACACACATATAACGGCACTGGATCTCCATCACCGCACATGCGCAGAGCCGCACATGCGCATACAACCGGTCCTATATCGCAACACTGGCATCAGATCCTACTACCTCTCTTGATGACCGTTAGGTTGGTTTGAACTCTGTAAATATTTACGTTTCAATAGAAAAACTGTATGTCTCTTTCCTCGATTTCTTCCATCAGGCACTTTTCGACGAAATAATATTCGCATCGTGTTCAGTTAAATACGTTCTATCATACAGATCAGACACAATGTGTGGTGGAAGCTTCCGTTGGTTAAGTATATGTTATGAAGAAGAGAATGCAAAGGAGTTTCGAGTAAAGTGTCGAGAAGGATCTTGCGGAAAGAGTTTTATATACGCGAAGGAACCTGAGAATTTTGTCAAACACATGAATAGACAGCATAGAGATATTGCTCTCCGTGAATTGAACAATACAACGGGCGAGTGGAAATTCTTTCGGACAATGACAACGAAGAAGAATGTATATTATATGCAATGTATTTTATGTAAATATGAAGCTAAAATTACAGCTTCAGATGATGACTTATGGAAACACATATTTCGTGCACATAACACAAACGAGCTACTATTCTATAAAGAACGACATTGGATTTGGAAATATTTGATTGCTTATGGAGATTCATCTGCAAAATGTATTATTTGTCTAACTAAAACTGTAAAATTATCTATTAACACTACAGAGTTAAAAGACCATATAGAAAAGGAACATAAAGACAAGTGGCATGTGATGCTCGCATATGAAACATTACAGGCTGGAACAAATAGACAGTCTTGGAACTATCTTGCTACCAAGAACAAGTGGTTGAAGAAATGTTATGAAGATCCTTCGAATTTTCGAGCAAAATGTAAACTTTGCAAACGCAGTAAATTATATGTCAAAATTGAAAACTTTAAGACACATGTAGCGAAGCATCATGTGTTTACTGATCAGCTTGAAAGAGGAAACGTAGCTAAAACATTGGCAGGGAATAATTTAGACTTTTCATATTTTAGATACTCAAGAAATAAAAAAGAAATACAATGTATTTTTTGTTATACAGTTTTTCAGAGAAGGTCAGTCACCTGTTATAATGATATGTTCACACACTCAAAAGAGCATTCTTCAAATATCTCTAAACATGATCGCTATATAATTAAACAACATTATGTACTTAAATATATTAAACAAACTGCAGACTATGCGACATGTAGGATTTGCGATACATATGTAGACTTTGAATGTAATATGATCCTCTTAAAAAAGCATTGGCAAACAGCACATACAGAAAATTTCAAAAGAATACAAGAAGATTTGAAACAAGAAGCAGCAAACGGTCAAGCTGTACCGTCGACAAGCCATGAAAACTGGAAGAAAAACGATCGTGAGTTTTAATCACATTTTATTAATTATTATTGTTTATTAATATTTATCATTACAATTTAATCTTTGAGTGGTGTACTGAATATATACGTGTATATGATAAAAACAACAAAAATCAAACACTTAATATTTATTTTTGATATATTACAAATGTTTATATAGATTCATCTGTGCATAGAGTTCGACAATGGAAATGATGATAAGGGCATTTTTAAGCAGCATCCCATGATCAACTATAACCACAATCTTGACATTGACAAGTGATTTGAAACATTTGAAAACAGCGTATTTTGACTTATTTATCGCATATCCGTTTTGTGTTTATATAAATGTACACAATTTGTAAATTAAATATATATATTTACAAATTTATGATT